ATACTTTCTCAATTTGTAGTAATTTGAATTTTCAGGTTGCAAAAGTAGGTATGATTGCCAATACATTTTAAGATGTCTCGAAGGCATCGCATAGGATGTGACAAATCAAATATGAGCATTAATACAAACATTGCACATAACTATATATAGATATTAGTATAACTATATTAGAAAAAGCATATATACCAAACTCAATTCCACGATTAAATTACCAACTGATAAAACATACATATAACTTTGACCTTTTATCATCCGAACAAAAAACAATGTAAAGTCTAAAAAAATTATGTTAAGAGTACACTCTTAATTATTTATTATTAAAAATTATAAAAAATATAAATAAATTAATTAATTAAAAATAAATTGTATATAATTTTTTATTATAATTAATTTTACTCAAAAATAAAAATATATCAATTATTAATATTTCTCTAGACAATATATCACTACATATATAATATGAACTACAATCTATCGAAGTGTATGATGTCATACAATTCGATAATTGTTTGGTTTCCTTTTCTTTTTTATCCTAGACATAAAAGGAATTTAATTGAAAAATGAAATTACACAAATCCATTTAAAAGCTAGTCAACAGATCATCCAATTCATGATGTATAGAATTATCAAAGTAGGTTTAAATTTGTGAGCCAATTTAGTTTGTGATGAAATTTTAGTAAGTCAAGTTATATAAGAAAAATAAATTATAAGCTATTATCCGAGTCAAATTAGATCAATCCATAAGTTTTAATTTAAGTTATTAATTAATAATTTAGTAAATATGATCGATTAAATAATGATAAAATATTTATATTTCTTTAATAAAATAATAATAAATTATTATTATTATATGAGGATGTTATAACTTTATAAGTTCTTTAAATTCGATGAGCCAATTCGTGAGTCAATCTAGTAAATTAATGAGTTAAATTGATTAAATATATTTTTTTAATTTACAACAAAAAGTAAGAGTTAACGCACTGTTAAGTCTAGAGTCTAACTTTTGTTAGGTTAATAATGTACCAGAAAACATGTAGCTTGGTTACATATCAATGTTATCTTTCAGTTAATTGTAGATGGACTGGATGACAAAAGGTATAAAGATTCATGTATAATAACTGAAGCAAGAAAAAAGAAATAATTAATATGAGTGAGTAGATAGGTTTTATAATTAAGGACCACCCAATTCAGTTCATGCAGCCACAAGCGATGGCTGCGTTATGTTGTGTTATTTTTGGACACTCTTGCTGGCTGCTGCCTAATCTATATTTTAGCGTATCCATCACAATGAGGTCATTGGTCAATTTCTCCTTTGCATTTTAATTGATTAAGGCATTTTAGTTTTGTTCTTCTTGTATGATCACTTTCGATCAATTTCTACCGCTATAAGTTCCTTCTGGAGACCAAAACACATTAATTAAACGGAAAAGCCAGCTTAAGCATGCCCCTGTGTACATGCATCGATCTCATGCAATGAACAATATTAAGGATGATGACATCTTCTTTTTCTATTCCATCGGAATATTATCAAACCATTCATTACTGAATTCTTGTCCTGATCGTATCATCATATATAAATAATATCATTAATATTATCTAATACAATCAGTAGATAATTCATTCAATTTCTCAAGCATTATTCAGGATTCAATCATAATATATGTCTAAAAAATCTAAAGATCTCTCTATATCAGCTAAATAATGCTTTTAGTGCATTCCAAAAGCAATTACATAAATATTTTACATAATTCAGTTAGAAATATTTTTAAAAAATTATTTTCATATGGATACATGTCTACGCGATTAGATTTGTTTAAATGGCATAATTATTACGTGATTCTTTGTCATAATTTTGTCGAGTTAAAGAATAATCAATTGCGGAAGGGATAATTGATTTTGGTATCATGTTGTCGATCTAAAACTTAGCTTTATGTCTGTCCTTTATTGGATGTTTACAAATAATAGGCTAGCTAGATCTTTTTCACCATAGTTTCATTAGGTGTCCATGCTTCCTTAGAAGAAAAAAGACAAGAGTTAAAGATCACTTATAGCTAGGAAAAGAAAATTACAAAGAAAAGAAGAATGAAAAAGAAAGGTGGTAACCACTTGTAGTTGTGGGGTTGGGTCAATTTCTGAAGAAACCATGAGAGGGTGAGTGAGCAGCCTCCCAAGCAGGGTCCCATTGCCTACCAAAAACGAAGATGACTCAAACTCTTAACGAAGAACATGGTCACATCCTCTGTGACAAAAGATGGTAGGGGTCCATCAATATATCTGCACACACATACATTCCATCTCCATGAGTTTCTGCACTGCCTTTTAAAATTTATTGAAAATATAAAATCATTGAATTAAAAATTAAATCATATAGTTTTTTAATAAATTTAGATTAATAATAAAAAAATATTTTTAATATTTCTCTTAAAACTATGAGACTTGGATACTCATTATTTTTCTGAGCTCTCTTTCCTTTTCCCGAGATTAAAGTTTCCCACCCAACTTAGTTTATTTCTATATTTCAAGTTGTACAACTTTGTATAGTTAAAGCATCTCCTCTCTTGTTCTAAAAACATTAAGGTTGTCTTATTACAGAGAATTTTAGAAATGAAGGTGAAATATAACACCGGTTATTAATAATAGCTAAAAAAAATTAAACATATTAGAAGAGTTTTATAAACTCTCTCTAAAAATATGTGATTTAAAATTCTTTTTATTTAATATAAAATTTATTTAATTAAAAATATGAAATATTCTAAAAACACTTCTCTTTACTATTTAAATATATATAATTTAACTTTATCCAAACACAGTATAAAAGTTTCTTCAAAATTCAGATTAATATATATTTAGGCTTCAACTCACCGATATATGCCCTAGAACTCATTTTTTAGAATGAATTTTTCTGCATGTGAAATTTTATACTTATCTTTCTCTCTTTGTGAATATTTGAAAAAAGAAAAAGAAAATATTTATTTATATAAAAAAGTCACACGAAAAAGCAACATATCCATTTTTTAAATAAAAAGTAGCAATTTTATTCCTCAAACACTTTGTTAACGAGAAAAAAAATGTCTTATTTACTTGAAAAAGTAGAAATATTAATATTTCAACTGCACGATTTCAAAGTTAGGAATCTTAACTCAATATATTGACTGCACACAGCACACATTGTGTTAAATTTTTAAAATTCGTCCATAATAATAATAATAATACTAATAAAAGTTACTCGAAAAGAGAAATATTAATTTAAAAGTGTAAGTATATCGTTATTATCTTCAAATCTTAATAGGTTATCGATTTAAGAGTGTTAAATTCATTTTAATCTTTTAAAACATAAACGAATTGTTTTCGTTTTTTACTAATTAATTTTATTGTTTGATATCAAACAATAAAATTGAATGATGCGTGAATTAACTTTTATGGATAGACTAACTTATAAAAAAAATAAATTCTTAAGTATTCTTAGAACTTGCGCCCATACACACTTTGACAATAAAAAAATTTGTTAATAAAACGTTATTCAATACAAATACTCTATTTTTTAAAATATTAAAATATTTGTTCTATATATTTATATTATTTTATTCTTTTAAAAAATTAATAGTTAATAGCAAAAAAAAAAAATTAATAGTCACCAAAAATTATTAAAAAATATATTGCTTATATTGTTAGAAACAATAATAACTAATAAACTTCAGGTGATGTACTTTAAATGACTATAGAGGGAGTATATTAAAATATCTTTCAACATTTAATTTAAATTATACCTATTGCTTCTTAAGTTAGTGGCACATAAAAATTTCTCTTGATAATAATATATCTATAAATATTATAATATTTTTGGTGATTAAGACTAAAATAAGGTTTTATTATAAATTAAATACAAATTTATCTGTGTGTTTTCTTTCGCTGAATATTTGTTTATTGGTGCGATTTTGCTAACTACTATGTTAAAAATACATATTAAAAATATTAAATAGCTTTTTTTTGAAATATTTATAGTTAGTTAATAGATTATGTATTAAATAATTTTTATATCCTTTATATAATATGAATTTTTCAATAAAATTATTTTACTCTCAAGTTAGTGTTCGAGATTGTGTGTTAAGTATTTTAATCTTATTTTTTTAAAAAAATATTAAATTTTAATTTTATAAAATTTTAACTAGGGACTCTTTATAAAAAATTAATCTGATAGTTTATTTTATATATATATATATATATATATTCCCACACTTAAGATACATGTGTTTATATAATTTATTTTATCTATATTAGTCCGGTATATGAATATAAGTATGGTGCTCTTATCCATACCCGTACAATATGTATGTATACATATTCAAACTTAAATTTATTAAACACGTATTTATTCTACTCATTATCAGTAGTTTTTTTTTGCGCGTGTTCCTACTTGATTGTGTGTGTATATAAATTTAAACTAAAATTTTAATTATATAACTTATTTTAATTTTGTACATATAAGGTATTTTATTTGACTTTAAATGAATAGTTTTATTTATAATTTTATATTTTTATTCAAGTATTTTTAAATATTTATATTTTATTATTTATAAAAAAGATTATAAAAAAATAAATTCTAGTTAACAAACTGCGAGTAATAGAATCAAATATGAGAATTTGTATACTTTAACAAACATGAAAATAAAGATTAAAATTATAACTCAAAATGTATGAAAATAAATAGGAGTAAATTTAAAAATGTGTGTATAAAAAAGAATACTTGAATATTTTTAAGTAATAGTAAGACTTACTCTCTCAACGAAAATATTTTTAATACACAAGATTAAAATTTTAAAGGAAATTTAGTATGTATCACTTCAACTAATTTCGATTTTTTTTTATAGAGAATAAGGCACCATGAGTTCCGCATAACTTTTCTTAATTAAATAAATTTCTTCCGTTCTTAGCCGCTCCTTGAAGTTGGAGGCCTATAAATTCACTAAATTGCACCTCAAAGAGGACAGCATATACTCACATAGCTGATTAAAGTGAGAGTGATAGAAAAGAAAGGAAGGAAGCAAATGGCAAACTTTCCAGTTGTTGACATGGGGAGGCTTAACACCGAAGAGAGAGAAGCAACCATGGAGATGATCAAAGATGCCTGTGAGAACTGGGGTTTCTTTGAGGTACTCATTTATTATCTCCCCCACCATCCACAAAGAAAACTTTTCTCTTGCATGCTTGTTTTGTTTTCTTTTGTGCTGAAAGGTTTTGTTTTTGTTAATGTTACTTAATTTTGTGGGTTTCCTTTGTCTCCTTTTTCAAGTTGGTGAACCATGGGATATCCATTGAGTTGATGGACACCGTGGAGAGGCTCACCAAAGAGCACTACCAGAAATCTATGGAGCCAAGGTTCAAAGAAATGGTGACCAACAAAGGTCTTGAGTCTCTTCAGTCGGAAATCAATAACTTGGACTGGGAAAGCACCTTCTTTTTGCGCCATCTTCCAGTCTCCAACATTTCAGAGATCCCAGATCTTGGTGAAGATTACAGGTCACACACACTTAACATTAATTTCTTAAAGCACGCCTTTGTGCATTTGTATTTCTTATTGCTACACAAACTCCTTCTCACATAGACATATACACGTACTTTGTGTTTTTTTTTTTTTTTTTTTTTTTTTTGTGGGGTGTTTAATTTCAGGAAGGTAATGAAGGAATTTGCACTGGAATTGGAGAAACTTGCTGAGCAACTTCTTGACTTGCTGTGTGAGAATCTTGGGCTGGAGAAAGGGTACCTGAAGAAGGTGTTTTATGGATCCAAGGGCCCAAATTTTGGCACCAAAGTTAGCAACTACCCTCCTTGTCCCAAGCCTGATCTCATCAAAGGCCTGAGAGCTCACACTGATGCTGGTGGCATTATCTTACTGTTCCAAGATGACAAGGTCAGTGGCTTGCAGCTTCTCAAGGATGACCAGTGGATTGATGTCCCACCAATGCGTCACTCCATTGTCATCAACCTTGGTGACCAACTTGAGGTACATACTATACACACATGCCCCACTATTCTATAATGTTTCTCACTTGTCACTTTTCACCATACAAAAATAAATCTCATTCACGTTCCAATCAAAGATGACACCCAATAACATAACCTTGGCATTCAGTGCATTATTAACTCTAATTCTTGCATATAATTTAATTGCTTTGTGCTTTTATGCTCATGACATTATTAACAGGTCATAACCAATGGCAAGTACAAAAGTGTCATGCACCGAGTAATTGCACAGACTGATGGTACTAGAATGTCCCTAGCTTCATTCTATAACCCAGGTGATGATGCTGTCATTTCTCCAGCACCAACCTTGGTGAAGGAAGATGAGACAAGCCAAGTGTACCCAAAATTTGTTTTTGATGATTATATGAAGCTCTACGCTGGTCTCAAGTTCCAGGCTAAGGAACCAAGGTTTGAAGCTATGAAGGCCATGTCCAGTGTTGATTTGGGTCCCATAGCAACAGTGTGAGCCTGAGCATATGGAAACATTGGAAGTAATAAGTGTGTTTTCTGTTAATAATAAACTAAGGCTACTAAGCTTATACCGATTAGTGTTTGGTGTATGGATAATTGGTATGGAAGCTTATGCTTGTGCAGTATAAACCTTATAGTTAAAAATAAAGTATTAGCTCCGTCTTAGTTTGTGCGTGTGATCAATAATGTACTCTATGATGGTTAAGTTAGTGCGATGTACTGATACAGTGTTTTAGAAAGTAACCTCATCTTGCCATACATGGAATTTTCTCATAATTTCTCTTTGGCTTATCGTCATTGATATTCTTCATTTTTTTTTCTATATGCTTTCACACGATATCTTTAAGTAAGAAAAATTAAAAAAAATTATATGTATAATAAATACGATGATGTTAATTTTCAGTGAACAAATTTTTAAACATTAATACACTATTTCTCGGGTATAGGAAGTGGGAACAAGTGGAGAGAAGAAATTGAACTAAATGGAAATTCTGGATGGAGAAAAGTTTTTCTCTTAATTGATTTTCTTTTCATGAAATGGAATGGATGTAATGTGATTCATGTAATTCTATCATTGCTCATTGGGAAAATTCTGTTTGATGACGTTAGAAACACTGCTTATTTGGATTTATTTTGGGCAGTTGGGTTAACTGAACTTTAATATATACATAAAACATGTGCATATGTAGGGACAGCAGCCCAACCCCATTGCATGTTTTGTTCTATCTTCCATCGAGTACCTTGTCCTGTGGTTTTGATTTTGCGAGGCGTAAAGGCAAAATTTTACATTTATCTATATAATAACTCCTCCCTTTTTAACATTAACTATATGCCAACTGTATATTTTAAACAATAACTATAAAAAATTACTTTTATCTTTTTTTCTAATCACATTATGTTATTTATCATACTTTTTATTCATTCTTTCTTTTTTTATATATGTATTGTCTTCTTTCTACCCCCTACACCCAAAAATAAAATGTACAATTAATATTAATTAGTATTATTCACTTTATCTCAATTGTTTCTCTCCCTTACGTGCATCTTTTTTTCTTTTAGTTTTCAACAAATAGAACTTAAATTACATGTTGGGCTATTAATTAATGTCACTCCAATCTCTCATTACAGCCTACTTTTTAAAGGAGCAAATACAAGTTATGATTGGTAATTAAGTTTCCATTTAAGGAACCGAAAGGCACCTAATAATGATATGTTATAAAGTATAAACTATTGGACAGCGACCAAACTAGAATTTTAATCATATTAACAATCAAAAGTTAGTAAGAAAGCAGCTTCCTTCGATTTGAAAACCAACACAAAATGGCCACCAGTAGATCTGGAAATTAAAGAATTGGGAAGAAAAAAGTAGGTCAGTATAGATTATAAGAGAACTAAATGGATTCTGGTTTTTGTTCACCCTGATTATAAAACCTGTATGGGGAATTTCTACAAGTCATGGTGCTAAATTGGGACCACAAGCACCACTTCACCAAATCTACCTTACCAAAAAAAATTAAAAAATACTCGAAATCTAGTTGGATTTGCTGAATTGAAAAATAGAAAGCAAGGGCAAATCATGAAACATGTTATAATAAAGGAAAAGAATGAAATCATCAGAGTGAATAGGATTAGTACTGTTGAATTGAGCCAAAGTCTATCAGCAACACAGATTTTAATTCTATGACTTCATTGATGGTAAACTGGAATAAGTTAGTATTGTCTTGTTGAATAAAATTGATAATTTAATGTGTATTCACATTACACACACATGCATTCGCGTTGAGAGCACCATGAAATGTTGCTTACTTTTTCAGTCAAAAGGTACTCTAGCATGTAAACTAACAGTGCCTAAATCTTTGATGAAAGTGACTCGGCAAGTTTAAAGAAACACCAGTCACACAGGTGACTGAGTGAGGTAATTATATGCTCCTCTGACTTGAGCTTTATTTAAATATAAAGATAAAGATAGGCTATAAGGATTCCTTTTTTAGGCCTTCTGCCATGCAAATAATGTTCAAAGAGTAAACATGCCTTCCAGACACTGAAAAATAAATTTGAAGCTTGATATTTGTTTTTTGGTGTATGAGGAAAAGTGATGCTTCCAAACTGATTAATCAAACTGGAATGAGTAGAACGAGTCCATCTTAAAAATATGTGAAGGATTTATGAGAATAAAATATGTGCAAATATTATTACTACTCAAAGAGGTGGATGCAGAAAAATATTTTTCTCTGTTCTTTTGTTTAGATAGACTGATATCAATCTTCAAGAAGAACGAAAATAAAATTTGTCTTCCTTTAGTTGTGAAAGCAAAGAGAAGGAACGTGGGATATATTTATTTATTTATTTATTAATAACAGTAAACTTGAGTTTTAAGGACACATCCTCTGCTTGTCTCTTCTCCTTTGTGCCTTTGTCCAATTCTTCAATATTTCATTTGATTATTCGCACGCGCTTATCCACAAGAAGCAGGAACAATGTATAGGGATATAAATCAGTTTCAAACAGACCAGAGGCGAATATTTGAAGTGAAAATATGAATTAATATTTCAAGATGTATTGAGATTCAAATTAATTTAAAATAATTTAAATAAAATTCAGTTGTTATTGAATGAAATAGTCCTTTGAGAAGCAAAGACCAATTACAAGAGAACCTTTATGTCCACCCCCCCTTTAGGAAATACCCTGTAAGCTGAAAGTTGGAAGATATTTTTAATTATCTATTAAAATCCATTTTACATCACAATCATCAACCTTTCCCTGTACATTCTAATCACTTTGCAAAAACTAATCAGTTCATCATGCTATGGTTATCCACTCAATAATAGAAACTATCCATCGGACCATAGGCCTGCATTGCTTAGGCATTCATGTATTTTTGTTTGCTTTTCTACTTTTGCTTTTACTTTTAGGAGCATTAGCTCTTGATATAGGAAACTGATTCAGCAATAACAAGAAGTTCAGCACAACTTGCCATACTCTCCTGCCAAAAAGCATTATCAGCATACAGCCGAGCAAATTTCCTACTACAAACCATGTCTCCTAAAGTAACAAATTCAATGCATGCCCATATAAAACCTCATGGTGTAAAATCGTCTGCACTAGCAGCATTGTGGGAGAAGAGATAATGAAACAATTTTTTTCAAGAACAAGTATGCAATCCTCAACAAATTTCAACAACACATCCAAGATAGAAGGGCCTCAAGAATGATTGTTCTTTGTTGTGTAAAATCTCTTTTAGATTACCAAAATCATAAGCAAAAACTAAGGAAAATATCCATTTTAAAAGCATCCCGATTTCACTTCTGAACTCAAACTGAGGAGATATAGACAAATTTCCAAATCTCAAATTGGACTAGACTAGCCTCATTGATCTCTATTTTAACAGTGTAGTTAGGATGTGTGCTCTTGAATCTTGATCCTCTTACTTCTCCTTTATTTATCTCCATTGGAACAGTGGCTCTAGAACTTGAAGCCTTTCTTTCTGCCATTACCTCCTTCCAAACCGATTCATCCCAAGGGATACGCTTCCTAGCAGCACATATGGGCTTCAACACAGGATTTTGCAAAGGTGGCTGTGGTGAGATAATTCCAAAGCGTTATATTTTATATTTTACAAATTAAAAATAATAAGCAATAGGACAATTATTAAATGTAATTTAAAACAAATAATTAAATATAAATTAAGTGAATATATTTAATAAAAATATATATTAATTTAAATGTCATTAAAACAATAATGATCTGTGTGCAACAACGGAGAAGAAAAGATAATGGTTAGAATGCAATTTAAAAGTAATAAGAATTTAATTAATAATTACATTTAAATGAAGTGAATCTTTTAAATAAAAAATATTAGTCTATATGTAATTCAAGAACATGTGTGTAATTTTCAAGCATTTATTTGACTGACAATGCAGGTAGAACGTGTAGGTGAAAGGGAATAATAACTTGTGTATCAATTGGGATAGAGAAGAGAAGTATTTGGAGAGAGAAGATCAAGTGATCTTCAATGAATCAATTATAATAAAATGATACGCAACATATTCAATCGCTTATACGGTTGGTGTTTGAGATTTCGCATGAATGAGGTTTAGGCACCCGAATAAATCAATTCTCGTATCAAATTGCAACCAACGTTAAAAGTGCTTGGACTGTTCCCAAAAAACAAAAGATTGAGGGCGAATTGATTGGCAGATTGTCACAGGAATGAGCAATCAAATAAGTCTCGAACACACATAAAATCATAAAACGCTACACTGACTAACTTAAAAGAAGTATGTACGTCTTGGTAGCGAGCCTTGAAACCAAAGATGCACGCACTAACTTCTATGTCACGAACTCAACCGTAACAGAATCTATTTTTAAGCAGTAGAGAATCTAACTAATTAAATAATAATTATTGGGTTCGTATTTTAATCTTTAAAATACCTCTCACCTTTTAGACAATTCAAATTAATTTTAACTTCCTTAGGAGTATATTACTGTTCAAAATCTATTCATCTATTTGAATTCCAATGCTCAAATACATTGAGAATGAGTATAGTATAAATGAACAACTGCATTTTTTGTTTGAGTCGTGACACATTGTTGTCGAAAGAGCAGGGTGAGGTGCCGGGGGTGTGCAAAAGTAACTTGATACTCGCATTGGAACTACAGCTCTCATGTAAGCCATGTGACGCGAACACTTCATCAACACTGCACTAGAACAAAATACATAAAATTCCTTCATCATCCTTTTTTTTTTTAAAAAGAAAGTAATTCCTTATACATTCCCGAATGGACTAAACATGATCTATACATTCTCTGTATGGATAAAAGTTTCAAGAAAAAAAAAAATCCTCTAAAGTATATTCATCTCTAATCAAGATGTATCCACTCGATTTAATTTAAAATATTTCATGATCTAGATCGAATAAAATTCAAGGGTGAATAAACCTTATTGACTATAAAGACCGTTGTTACACTTGAATTGAGACCATATCCAAATTTTAACTATATATGAACTCCAACCATTATTCCTGCCTCGTATCTTATTTTTAAATGACTGCACTTTGTATTGTGCTTGTGCCACATATCTTAGTTCACCTTAGCTGGATCAGAAGTAACAGATTTCTTTATACAGTCCACTATTCCTTCACAGTCTGCTTCAAGAGCACAGACTGAGCCGTCATCATCCGATGAATATGAATGAGGTGACCGGAGGTTCCCATGGGTTTGACAAGCCTTCATTGTTTTACAATGTTCAGCTTCGTCATCTCTGATATTTACAAATACGTCATACAGATTATCTGGAGGGGAAATAAATATACCGTTAATCATCAATGTGAGATTTCACAGCAATAAAAAGGTCCAATGCAAAGTAGTATCTGGTATCCTAACTTTGAAATTCTAACAGAATTATATATATATATATATATATATATATATATATATAATCGGGGAAAACTACCAGAAACGATTAACCCCAGAAATGATTGACAATGTCCAAAAAATCACTCATTCTGAAACTGGACTTGGTTTTAGCAAAATTCCCTCAACTCCTTCCCTCCTCTTGGTAGCATCAGACACAACAAATTCAGCACAGTAAATTATTAATAAAGTAATGTGGGACCAGGCTTCAAGGTATACCTATCTTAGGTCTTCTAGAATTTGGAACTCTGGCAGTTTGAAATTCATCTGAGGAAAATGATATGGTAAGTGTGAAATTCCAGTTTTTTCCTCCAGTAGACAACCCAAAGTAATAAAACCGAAAAGCTTACCAAATAAATACAAGTCATCTCCTGTATAATAATTCACAGCAACCACAGGAGCCGGCATTTTTTTCAATTCCTCTGCAAAAAGTTTATTAAACTACGTAAGAGTTATTAAAACACCTGGTACAGACCGACCCATAATTAAAAAAGCATGTGAATGAGGAGAAACAATTATTTTGGAATGTTCATCAAATAAAATATTAATATATTATTCATTATATAATCAATGCAAAACCATTTATCTACCTTATTTTCTTTTCTGTTTTTCTTTTAATACAACAAATTAACATCATTTCCAGAACAGGGTAACCCAAGACAGATAACAAAAAATGTAAGCCTCAACATTAAGCAAGAAAAATTGCAGCCTGTTATTATTCAACCATGCTACAGTCGAACAGCTCATCTTATCTTAATTAATGTTCATATCAAATAAGTCACAATTCATGAACTATAAACACACAACAAAAAATCTAAACAACACACAAATGAAGAAGAGAAGAAATCTCCATAATACCTCCTTGGATTTTTAGAAATTTGTCATAAGTTTCAAATGCATGGCTCTCTACACATTCAGAAAAGTGATCTGCACAAGCAATAAACCATACACACAAAATCAGCAATTGAACAACCAAGCAGACAGGTGCATGCTAGATATCTGTAATCAGTCAAATATGGTGATTAGCTGTTGATAATTTAGCCAAAGTAAACTAGGTCAGTTTGTGCCGAAGATCAGCTGCATTATTTTAGCTGTTTTAAGTTCATTTTTAGTTTAATGTCAATTGTTTACTTCACTTTCCTTTATCAATTATGGTGGAAAAATAATGTCATATGGGCATCTCAGATGCTTTCTCAATTACTCATCCAGTTTATCAGCATCACTCATATAACCAAGAAAATAACTAGCAAAACTATGTACATAAATGTGCAGGCAACTTCTATCTTCTCAATCAAACAAGTGCAAGTATTTCATTTGGTGCCTTCAAAATTTCTCATGTATACAACTTCCCTAAATTTTCATGATACTACAACCAGTGAACTGAAAGATGTAGCAGGAATTGCAATGAAACAAAAAGCAAGGACTTAATACTTACATGCCATTCTTGGGCTTATCGCATACATTAAAACTGTCATGATATAATAAAATATTGCAATATGTTGAGCAAGAAACCGGTCAAACCACCAAGCATTCCCCCCTAGTTCCTGCCATAAAGTATGTGAAGAATATAGTAATTAACACGATGCATGTGATCGCAAATGGAAGTATATTTTTGTTCTCCAATTTAATTCAAGGGTCCATTTGTTTTATGAAAGATTATCTTTCTGGAAAATGTTTCTCAATGTTTAGTGCGAAAATATTTTCCAGAAAACATTTTATGTTCGTTGGTACAGAAAAAAGCATTTTCAAGGAAACACTGCTCCATGTTGTACAGTAAAAGGAAAATATTTTCCAGGTCAATTCATTAGAACAACAGAAAATTACAACCGTTATAACAGGAGAAAATGACTTCTCCTAAATTAATCAAATAAAAGAAAATTTTAGAAAATGCATCATTTATTGATATAAAAACAAATGTCAACTGAACACATTTTTATAGAATATACCCTCACTTGAATGTATTTTTAAGGAATCTATTTTCTTCTGAAAACGTTCTCTGGTATCAAGTTGTTATCTATAAAAAATAAACACATGATAGGAGAACATTTATGGGCTTGAACCATTATCTTCAAAATGCCACATGCCACTGTATGACAAAATTTCCCTAAATGTAAGGGATCCCTCAATTCTCTCCTACTTTCAAAGAGGTCTTTTACTTCAACCCTTTTATTCTTAATATGTTCAACTACTGATCCTCCATAAACAAAAACGACTCATGGAAGGATAACTAGTAAAATTTGTGTAATGACATCTTTTAAGGATTAGCCAATAAGACATCAGTTACGTTAAATAAAAAAGTTGCAAGAGATCTTACTTCCATGATGAGCAAATGGTGCATTTCATTCCAGCTCTCAGCAAAATGCACTTTCAGATAGTCTGCCCGCCTCCACCAGCCAAAACTCTCATACATGTGAAGAACTGACATAAAGGCTGCCATAGATAATGATACACAGAAATTAATACTGAAAAGTTGCAATCATAATTTCGTGATTCCCTATATTTCCTAGTAAATTAAATACATAATTGACTATGATGCTTAATACACATCGTAATTTTAGACTTTAGTACAGCTAAAGAGTTGTAAATCACACTTCACAGGTTCAAGTGTGGCAGTAAGAATTACAGTTCACTAATTAGAAATTAAGATTTCTCCAAGCATTATAAAAAAAAAAAAACACTTACCAAAGTAAGGAACCCTGGCAATAGTTTCAAGCACAAAAAACCTTGCATAATGTCTATCACGGTACAAAGTATCAAGAATCTTTATGACGGAATCCTGAAATTATCAGTGAAGCCGAAAATAAGTAACGAAGAACAAATATTTTCATACTCCTTATGAATAATAATCCCCAAAAGGGGATTAGTTCAGATAAAAATTACCGTGAGAAAGACATTTACTGATTGTTCGAACTTGATAACACGTTTCTCGAACGCGCTGGGGGGTGAGGTGTTAATTGAGTCGTCCGTAGTTGATTGAACGGTGTGAAGAGATGTTTTAGAGGGGAGGGAATCGTGTAGGATCACTTTTTCCTCATTATCCTGTAGGAGAGATGCCCGAACCCTAGAAAGAGAAGAAGAAGAAGTTCCTTGAGGATTAAGAAAAAAACGTACGTGACAGAAAGGAAAAGGGGATTACGATTACGAACCTGTGAAGTGGTGGATTATGATGGTGCGGAAGAAGGTGGATTCGGGAGTAGGATGAAGACGGAGGTTTGGGAAGAGGCGAGTAAGTAAAGACGAAAGAAGAGAAAATCGCCGCCATGTTTGGAGAAGAAACTGTGTCTGAGTCTGAGATATTAATGGAATTGAAATATGGAAAGTGCAAAGAGAAAGTGATTGGTCCACGAAGGCGTAACAGTTGTCACAGTCGGCATTCACCCCAATTCCGGCCACTTCTCATGTGGGCGCCCGCATAGCCACATTCTTCCTCACTTCTGTTCCGGTTGGTTTCCTCCCTGCTTTGTTTCTTTTATGTAATAAAACAAAATGAATAATAATAATGGTTAGGTTCAATATTTTTATTTAAAAATAATTCATTTCAATAAATTTAAATTTTATTTACAACAATCAATTACAAGCTAAATAAAAATTAAGAGCTTCTTTTATATTTACACTCATACACTTAGCGGTTGATTTCTAGCATACACTTTACTGATTTAACAACATGATTAAAAATTGATTTTAATTATAATACTTTATTTTCAAGTACCAAACAAATTTTCCTTAAGTTCTATCGTATAAACAATTAGAACCTAGTTTGATTAAGTAAGCTAATTCATATGTTAAGATTAAGTTAAATTAAATATTTAAATTATCATCTCAAAACGAAACTCATTTTTTTTAGTAAAGCAATGAAAATCATGTTTCGTTTAATATTTTGTTTTTTAATACTTAGGTGAAAGTAATAATAGAGAGTTTTAAGTAAAAAATTTAACAATAAAATAAAATTTAGTTAGTAACCTAAAATTGAGAAATAAACATGTCATTCAATTTAAATTAAAAATGTAAAGAACAATTAAATAGATCATATAAAGTTACCGCATAGACGAAGCACGAAACCAAAGGACAGGACATTTGGCACTGGGAAAAGGTTTCGTAAACGAGTGATGAAGTGATCCCCAAATGCTAAAATATAGTATTCCTGTTTGTTAAAATATTAGCCACGCAATTTCAGGTATGATTTAGATTCGTAAGCAAGTGGAAAAAGGTTTTGTTATTGGAGCAGTGATGCATATGATTGTGCTAAGGTCCAAAATAAAGCACAGCCACCCAAGTCAACAACAGTTGTGAGTTGTTGATAGCTTTGATTCATGACCGATTCCGCAGAAATCTCCAGTCGTTCACAGACCAGTCATTGTTTGCCATTTTTCACGCGGTTGGGCCCTGCCTTCCAATTTCCTTCACCATAACAACAATTGCTTCCTACAATGATCAACCCAATTTGGAATTCTCTTCACTTTCATTCTTTTCAAATTTTAAATAATCATTGATTTTTCAGTTTATATAATATAAAAATTCTGTCATAATTCATTTATTGTGCACTCTCCACTAAAATTCTATAATATTTCAGCTAGATCAATTCCACATCCATTTTTCTCTTTTTGTTTATTTGATCAAAAATAGCTTTAAAGTCAAACATCCTTCCTAGTCATAAGTTATTGAACTCTTGTGACATCCGAAAGATTGCTTGAGTTGGCCAACTCATATGGAGTCTATTTGAGTTTTACAGCATTTCTTAACTCGGTGATGTTGTCGTTTTGGCATTACACCGGAGATTTATTAAAATACAATGACAACAAATAGTGATTAAACTAATGGAACTTCTTAATCATGACATGAGGCTAGCTGGCTATGAAAAAGGTTATTTTGATCATGGCAACCATAAAAATAGTAGAAATTAATATTATATTTTATATAATTATTTTATTTTATATATATTTATAAAAAAATCTCCCAAATTTCCTATCCAACTATAAAAGAATATCTACCAAAACAGTAAAAAGATAATTTCTACAACTAAAATGAAATATTTAAAGGAGGGACATTGTATTATTGAAGTCTGAAAGAGAAGCAAAGAGAGTTGGGACAGCGACTGCATTCACATAATCACATCCTACAAGCCCCTGACACTTGAAGATTCTAATTGCCAACACAGCCACAGCCTCTTGGGATATTCAAGTTTTATGTATTCATCGTATCTGGTTCTGGCACAGAGAAAGGTTCCAAGGCTATGGAAGAAGAAAGAGGGAGTCTGGTGCCAAAGAACAAGGAGAACACGAGCTACATAGCCCTTGATGGAACAGAATTGAGGAACTTCAGATCATACCTTAGATGGGTTTACGTGGATCACTCCAACGTTTACAAAGCTGGTCTCTCTTGGTCCATCTTCTTCATCTTGGCCTTCGTTGTGCCTGTTCTGTCACACTTCCTACTTGATTGTGACACCACCTGCGACCCTGATCACACTCGACCATACCACGTACCGGTGCAGATTTCTCTCTCTGTGTTAGCTACGCTTTCTTACATCAGCCTCTCATTTTGGGATCGTAAATACGGTTTCAGCAAGTTTCTCTTCCTTGATAAATTAAGTGATGACAGCCTCAAGATTCAAAAAGGTTATGCAGAACAGATGCAGGTTTGTGTTTTTCTTTTTCCTTTTTGTAGTATTTGTTAGAGATGTTATACAAAACTACTTATGTGTTTTCATCTTATAGTTAAGGTTTTTGGTTCTAGGTGTTTTCTGGAGTTTGACTTTGATCTTATCACTTTCATTCTTCTAGTAAAATCAGATGAACCACGAACTATGATTATGACTCACTAAGCATTGTCTTTTTCTTATTTCTTCTCTGTCTATTTCATTATATTGGAAACAATGCACACCCACGCTGCAACATTTATGTCCAAATTGAAAAAGAAAAGAACAATAGCATGAAACATTTTTTAATTACAAAAAGAAAAAAAAATACATGTCTTACCCTAAGAGTAGAAAAAAGTCCAACCTTGTGCTCTCTTGTTTTCACTAATCACCATATCCTTTCTCAGAAATTGGCATGCAAATATCAATTTACGGATTGAGGTAAGAAAATCAAGTTGCATTCAAAGTTTGGCTATCATTCTTTTATGGAAGAAAAAGAGAATGTAGAGGCCACTGAGAACTATTTTCAAGTCAATTAGCATCAGCTTTGTCTAAGTAATGCTGAGGTAAATTAGTAAACAACTTCATTTTAGGTGGATTAGCAAAATTAAGACACTATTAAAAATTGTATCAAGTTATTATTCATTTGTTAAAGATAAAATCTCATTAATTCAGCTAATTTAGGATTTACTCTAGGATAACCTAGACTAACCCAATTATTTGGTCAAAATTCAATAATCTGTTTGTAAAGAACGTTGACTCTACACCGTGAAGTTTATTTTCCAGTTTAAGAAAATGACTTAGTCGCTATTATGCAGGGAACAATGAAGCTCATCTTGCGTTGGGGGCTTCCCTGTTTCATAGTTGAATGTGCCTACAAGATATGGTGGTACATCTCGGGATCACCCCAAATACCATATTATGGTGAAATATACGTGAGCAGCATCATTCTGTGCACATTGGAGCTATGTTCTTGGCTTTATAGAACCTCCATTTTCTTCCTTGTGTGTGTCCTCTTTCGACTTATCTGCTACCTACAAATATTCAGACTTGATGACTTCGCTCAAGTTTTTCAGCGACAAACTGAGGTGGGGTCAATCTTGTTGGAGCACCTAAGAATAAGAAGGAATTTAAGGATCATCAGCCATCGTTTTCGATGTTTCATTTTGGGTTCTCTGATTTTGGTGACGGCAAGCCAGCTCATTTTTCTGCTTATGGTTACAAAACCCCGTGCTGATGTTGATGTCCTCAAGGCTGGAGAGCTTGGGGTAAATCTTCTTTCTCCCCACTTAAGCGCGTTTGAATAAACAGATTAATCATGTGCTTTTTAAACAACAGCTTATGAGTTAAAAAAGCTTGTTAAAATAAGTTAAGAAAGGTTTACTTATTAGTTATAAGCTACGTTTAGAAACTTAGGATATGCTTGGATTAGTAACTTAAACATTTATTTTTGTTATTTTCATAAACTCTTCCAAACTCTCCTGTAATCAAAACATCAAGTTTTTGCTATAACATATGCTGCCTCATTAATAAATGGACAATTCTAGCATGCTCTTGTCCAAAATGTTCATTATGTTACAAGCATTAAATACAACAAATAGAATGTAAAGGTTGAGTCCTGTGTTGCAGTTAGTATCCATCACCCTGGTGAGTGGACTATTCTTACTCTTGAGAAGTGCAACCAAGATCACACATAAAGCGCAATCCATTACATGCCTTGCAGCTAAGTGGCACATATGTGCCACTATAAACTCATTTGACAACATTGATGGAGAGACACCAGTTTCAGCCCAAGCAATAGCTACCAATATTATTAGTTGGGGATCATCGGATGATGATGATGTAGGAGATGAGGAAGATGAGGTGGATAACACCAAATTGCTGCCAATTTACACTCAAACCATCTCTTTTCATAAGAGGCAGGCTCTAGGTAAATGGGAATTTATTAGTGGTATTTTTCCTATCATCAGTCCAATTGTGTTTTGTCCTGAGTTACTATCTTTTAATGCAGTGACATACATGGAGAACAATAGAGCAGGAATCACAGTTTATGGATTCATGCTTGACAGAACTTGGCTCCACTCCATTTTTGGCATTCAGTTGGCTCTTTGTCTTTGGCTACTTAACAAGACAGTTGGTATTTAGATACAAGGGAACCGCTATGATTCTCCTACCTTGTTCATTATATATTTTCAATAGTCACCAGTTCATTTGGATCTTATATTTCTGGTTATGTTCTATGAAATATAAACCTGCACCACAAATTGCTAGACTATTGTAAATGTGCCCGCATCTCCGTACTATTAAACAATGGCAAGACCTACATTTTTGCAATCTGCGCGTCCAAAGTTAGAAGAAAATTGTTACTTGTGCAGCATCACAGGGCATGACAGAAAAAGGGTCAGCCCAGAGCTAGTACAAGAGATTATTATGGGAGTTCAGCTTATTGTTGAAAGCAAAATAATTGTTAATATTATGATAAAGCGTATACACATGCATAATGAATTATACAGTTATTAAAAAAATGTCTATTACTTTCGCTTCTCCCACTTTTGAGTTCTGAGCCGAATTGAGACCTATTAGCATTATTAAAATATTATCTTTTTTATAACAACGATCACCTCCCTTGAAATTAGTTAAATATATTCACACTCATTTTTACTGAAAAAAAAATGCATCTACCATTCTTATTTTTCTTTTTTTGTTATATCTAATTTTGTTATTTTTAATAGCAGGATATGTATAATCTTCACATAAAAATTGGAAAAGCATGTATAAATTAAATTTTATAAATAATTAACAGTGTTAACATGTAAAAATAATATGTAAAATAAGAAATAGAAATATATTTTTTAATTAATAAAATTAATAGTATATTAACACTTTTTTTTTGTCAACAGTATATTAACACTAACTTTAAGGAATGAGTGTCTTTTTTTGGACTATTCGCATATTTTGCAGAGCAAACACTGGGCTATATGACACAGCCCATGTGAAGTTGGGCTTGGGCCATTTTAAATATGATTGGAATACATCCATAAATTAATTTAAACTAGGTTTATATAGATGATGGTATTTTTTACTAAAAAATGCGAGAAATGATTTTATAACTTTAAAAACAAACAAGCCCTTCAATAAAAATATTTAAGAAATCGTTTACACGTGTAGCCAAGAAAGAATCACAAATAGGTGGAAATGAGATTTTGACAAGGAGAATATAGTTGTGGAGATCAGAACAAAACTTAAAGTCATAAGGCAGTTACATTTTCATTCCATGTTTATTTTAAAATGCTAAACTACAAGAAAGCGACTCATATTTTGGTATTCAACATATTAAAATAAGCTTTGTAACTATCGATTTATTTTATTTGCCGTGTCCTCTGATTTTTTGTGGTCAAACTTCTTTCATGTTAGCGCTGATAAGTTCTTGTAATCATTATGGGCTACTAGTTCTACCGCTCAACCATAGAGGGTTTTGATTTTGCAGAAACTCTCAAGCAGAGAGTATCTTTTGTGAAACCAAAACCCAATCTCAAGAGGGCAAAGATCCTTGGGCCCATATTCTGTATGATAAGAAACTCTTCCAACTAATAATGGCGGTAAGTTTTCATATTGTATGTTCTCAATTCAACATATTATATTTCGGAATTACACATGAGGAACTAATTTTATTTGATTTAATAGTAAAGATTTCAAATTATCATTTCCTAATTAATTACTTTGTGTTGGAATTATTTGTGAGCTCCTTCTAAATTGTGGTTCTCTCAAAATTTTTACCATAGCTGCCTCCGTTTATGCCATCGTTCCTTCTCATATAATGGTCAACTACAGCATCAATTTATCAAATCACCTAGATGCACCCATCAGCTTCATTTGGATTATTTTTCTTTATTTGGTTTAACGGTGAAGATTTAACTATGATTTGTAAAATATTTCATATGACGGACTTTTAATACTGGACATGTGCAGCAGCATTTTAGGTGGCAAATTAATCAGTCGTAAACGTGCAGGATCATATAGGGTTCATTGTTTGGATCACACTGCATATAGAAAATATATATACAAAAATAATAGAATTCTTCTCACAATTTAAAAAGTATCTTATCTCTTCACATTTTATAGAATTTCTTACATAAAATTACTTTTAATTGAAGTTCAATTAAAAGTTTTTTTATACGTAAGCTAATCATAAACTATAATATGATTTGGAAAAATATTTTTATAATAATTATTTTAAAATCACAGTTTAGATTTTATTAATTAATGTATAATGTGAAATTTTTTTACACAAATAGTATATTAAAATTAAAATCATTATTGTTAACAAAAAAAATAAAATATAAAAATTATCACATATCTAAAAGTTATTTCTATTCAATTTTAATTTATAAATACTTGACCCATGTTTCTTTCTAAGTATTTCTCTCACTTCTCTATTCAATTTATTTTAATCCATTTACTCAAAGAATTTCATTTGCTTTTATCAAAGCTAAAAATAAAAATTACCGAAATGTAACTGTTACTTTGGAAATCAACCCTTGGAAACTTGCTTTCTTAGCAAAACATATAGGAAAATAAGCTTTGATATAGAATTCTCTCCATTTGTATCTAACCAAACTAAAGATATAACATTTCTGATAAATCTTGTTGTGAATGGCTGATGACAGCAACGTTCTCACGTTCCGAAGTTCGGCAACTGGGATAGTGACAACGTTCCATACACGGCATATTTTGAGAATGCACGAAGAGAAAAAGGTGGGATGATGATGAATCCCAATGATCCAATGGAAAATCCAGAGGCCTTCGACGTTGATGCTGATGAAGTGAAGGCTTCTTCTCTTGATGCCCACTCCCACAACGAAACTTCTCTTGAAAGAGGAACTCGACGGCGTTTGCCCCGCAGAGGGAGGGGTAGTGAAGGTAGCTTCACACCAGAGTTTGCGGATGAAACAAATAATTTCGATCAGAAGAAGAGGAGGAGCATCACCAAAGGAGGCAGTAGCATCAGTAGTTTCTCTTCGTCAATTCATAATAGACACAAGAGTACGACCACCTCTTCCTTCAATCACCTTTCGGTAATTCCTCTCATCACATTGTAATATATAAATGTTTATTAATAATTATAGTATATTAATATTCATAATTAAATTCTATAATCTCTTATTATTTTTAATAATAATTTGTCATGTGTATAATTTTTTGGTTGTAACATTAAATACACATTGAAAAAAACATTTTTTAAGTATAATGAAATTAAATAAAACTCCGTGTTGTAATAGAATGTAGTTCGTTTTATTTAATCTTTTTATTTCTTTCTCATGAAATTATGTCTTTTCTTCATTTTATGGTAAAAAAAAGTTAAAAATGGTAACTTGTTTATTCTAATTCCGTATATGTTATTACATTCCCTACCAAGGAAAAAATTAGGAGAAAATTTTTAATTGAATACAAAATAAAAAATAATTAATTTTTTTCTTTTGAGTGACAAGTTTTTAATCAAGCAGTTAAAAAAATATTATTATTCATTTTTTTGTCACGTCTAACATAATATTAATACTTGTTTGAATGCACATTAAAGGTCTTCAAATTCAAGTTTAGAGATTTAATGTAATTTGAAATTTGTGTTAAATTTTGTTGCAAACTTACACTAAAAAAAATTGTAAACAGAAATTACGTCAAGCAAAGTGTTTGGAATGTCAAGTTTACAAACGTTGATGAAAGGTTGATTTACAAACATATATTAAAAGTTTACAAACGCTCATCTAATTGTCCTGGAAGTGCTGCAGAATCATGAAGCGACGCCAATACCCAAATTTGGTGCTTGGGATGTCACAGACCCCAAATCAGGAGAGGGTTATAGTGCCATTTTCAGCAAAATAAAAGAAGAAAGGCAAACTACACCCAGCCAAGTCTCCCACACAAGTACTCCACCACTAAACCACTGTTCAAATGTTAAGAATCAATATCATGGACCTTCCTTTGCCTTATCCAAGGTGATGTTATAAAATATCAGCTTTAATTTATAAAAACTTCAATAAGTTAATATTAACATTGTTATAGTTTTCGTGCAGTACTGTTGCTGTTTGTTTTCAAGCGAAAGCAAATGAACGCGGAATCCAATACGAAATTCGATCGTGCAGTACATTTCGTCTGGATGTGTTCCTCTTAAAAGATTTTCATTTTCGTTTTGGGATATTTATAATTTATTGTAGTTATCTTTGCATTGTTTTAGTTTGATTGACTTGACCTTTCAACGTGTTTCTATTCCACAATGACTGAGTGGATGAAAATTTAAGGTTTTGTAATTGTATTATGGGTCCTGCGGCAACAAAAACGATCTTTATTTGTTATCTAATAGCAAATTAATACGTGACAACATGTTATTTTAATAAGGTATTTTTATAACTAATTATTATAATATTTTTAAAAATAATTTTCGAAAAAAATAGTTATAAATCTAAATAATTTCACGATAATTTAAGAGAATTTATCATATTTTCAATATCTTACAATGAGAAGTATGTATATGTTATAAAAAATAAAGTTGATTATGATATTATATAAAAATTTACAAGGCATTTAAAAAAATATTGAGCAATTTATAATAGAAAACACCGGGACATATAACATATTCAAAGAGACATAAAACTTTAAAGACTTCTACAAGTAGAACTATAATGTCTCTAACAATAAAGATCTATGTCTACTGGGATTCCATCAACTTTTTCATTTTTTGTATTTTGTTGAAATAAATGCTAATAATTACTGAGCACTTAAATCAATTAGGGAAAAATAATTCCATTTTAGTGTGTGGGCTCGGTGTTCGAATTTAAGATATTTTTTCTCTTTCTATTTTCTTTATCAGGAGAAATAAAATTGTTAAATTGGTTTTTATAAGCGAGTTGTATTTATTTTGTTAATATCATAAATTTATTTTTAACCTTTATATACGATTTAGATATGTATTTAAATTAAGTCATATAATAATTTTTACGTTGAAAAGCGTGTTATGAGGAGATAAATTACTTCTGAAAATTTTTCAAACAAGTACTATGTTTCGCAAAATGATCAAAGTGCCGAGACATTCGTTTTTGCCATGCTATAATTGTCTTTATCACATTCTTTTTTGTCAATAAGTTTTTAAAGTTTATAATTAAAATTTATCTTTTTTTTTCATTTTATACCCAATAATGGATGATTTTCAATACAAATAATTTTTTAAAAATAATTTCACACCCTTTTTAAAAATTTTTGATTTTTTTATTTTAACAATTTAAATGAAACATTCTATCTTAAAATCATTCTTTTACTTAACAAATTTAAACATAAAATGTATTTTATGTTATAACAACAATTCATTATAGATATAATCAACTATAATTAATTATAGTTAATTTAAACACTCATTCCAATTGGATATACACATCCAACTACATCAATTTAATTACATATATAATTAAAAACAAACACATAATATTTCTTTAATAAAAAAGTGATGGCGCCCTTTCTTTTTGAATTTGAAATACACATTAGGCTTTTACCCTGTTGTTTTTAACTATTAATAATAATAAGTACTCCTAAAGAGATTTCCCAATCATTTTTTATCTAATAATATTGTTTTAATTTTTTTTTTCTTGTTACTTATCTGAAGTTGGCACCAGCCAATATGAATCATTATGATGATTAAAAAAAAAAAAAAACGATCAGTGGGAACGTTTTACATGTGGACCGGAGCGGCGCAACGCAGTGGCGCCCGAATTCAAAACTTGGAAACGACAAAACGAGAAAGGAGGCATCCAATGCGGACCCATCCAGACAAACATCCTGTGATTAAACGATCACACGGTCTCAGATGACCCGCATGACTTCAAGGACCCCACTCCAAAGCAAAATGAAATCGCGACGATGATCATCGCATCCCTATCCACGCGTCAAAATCAGACACACGACACGAACCACTCTTTGAAAACTGATAATAACAACCCTCTCTCTCTCCCTCTCTCTCTCCGCCATTTGAATTCCAATCCCGAGTTGAGTCGCAAGAGAGAATGAAGACAGAATCGCGTTCGAAAGAGGAAACGATGACGTATCAGGAATGGTTCAACTTGGCGGATTCAGGTTAGTTTCGCTTCTCTCACTCTACAGATTTTGAAAAACGATTCGTGTTGATATTTGGTGATATTCGATGGTAGATGGAGATGGCCGAATCTCTGGAAATGACGCCACCAAGTTCTTTGCTCTCTCCAACTTGTCCCGTTCTCAACTCAAGCAGCTATGGGCTCTCGCCGATACCAAAAGACAAGGATTTTTGAGTTTCCCTGAGTTTGTTACAGCGATGCAGGTTTTACATTTTAACAATTGTTTTATTTCATATTTGATTCCGATACGTGAAGCTGAATTTAGAATTAAATTTTCGTTGTAACGAAACAGTTGGTTTCGCTGGCGCAAGCGGGATATGAACTCAACTCAGATATTCTCAAAACTAGTAAGTGTGCTTGAGTGTGAATTAGACGTTTAAATTTGAAAAATTATCAATGCGATGCATGTAAATATTATTTATTCAATTCACTTTCTTCGATGAAATTCGTCACTCCGTTTTTATTGATCGCAGTTGACAAGGAAAATTTTAAGCCTCCCGCGATGGAAGGACTTGATGCTTTAGTAGCTGTGAGTTGTGTTTTTTTTTCTAATCTCACGTTGTTCTTGTTTTCTTTGATGATGTTATTTCTATTGATTATTTTGCTCATTATTTTTTTCGCAGAAAAAGAGTTTAACAATTACAGCCCCGCCCGAAGATAATGGTTATATGAATAACTTATTTTTGTTAACTATTCGTAATGTTGTATTCCTTAATTAGTATTTGATTGGATTTTTTTACTGATAATATGTAGGAATAGCTCAGCCTCAGCCACTTTCAACCAAATTGTGGTTCGTTTCAAAATCTTCGAAGAAAGTGAGTTCTGTTATTTATTCTCAGATTTAGAGGTGTCTGTCTTGGTTTTCATGAGATTCAAATTTCTAAGTTACATGCTTTCTGCATCCATAGTATGAATTGCATCTTGTTCAGTTTTTTGGGGCACTAGATATTCGTTATTTTGAAGATGAATCGATCATTTAATTTATTCTGGTCATCTGATTCATCTGTGATTGAATGTTGAGACTTGAGAAATCCTTGAAGCTTATCAGCGAGTATTGTTCATCTAATGAGTGATTAAAAGAGCTTAAGCAAAATGATTGACATATGGGATTGTGAATTATACTTCAAGTTATAGTTCACACAATGAACACTTACATGAAATCACTTTTCTCTCTTGTTGTTCTTTTGGATAGAAGAGGATAAGATTGATGCCCAATTTTGTAAAAAATAAAGTAGCAAGCTTTGTATTTTAGGAAAAAGGAAGCGAATAAACGGCCACCTGCTTTTACTGCTGAACCAATATTTTGGTAATATATGTAATAGTTAACTCTACTTAGAAAAAAGTTAGAATTTGTTTTTGTGATTTTTTTATTCTCAAATATCAAGATCTACTGCAAATAGTCTTGCTGACTCTTAATTTGCTGCAAGATACTTTCTAATTGTAATGATTTTCTTTTTCATAGTTACCTGTCGATGCGGTTACATCAATCATTGATGGCTTGAAGAGATTGTATATTGAGAGGCTAAGGCCCTTGGAAGTTACTTATCGATATAATGATTTTGTATCTCCATTGTTGGTAAGTGGTATTTACACCCTATGTTGATTGTGTTTGTGTGTGTGAGCACGGTACTTGCTCTACATAGCATGTTTTAATTTTCTCATAAATATTTTGATATTAACTCCAAGAATATCTTGATTTCTTCCTTTCAGACCAACAGTGATTTTGATGCTAAACCCATGGTTATGCTTCTGGGTCAATATTCAACGGGGAAGACTACATTTATAAAACATTTGTTAAGATGTGATTACCCAGGTTAGTTAAGTCCTGAACAATCATTCTTCATTTATCAAATTGATGATTGATTGATGTTGGTCCTTTTCCTTCTTTTTTAATTCTTTCTTTGTACAGGAGCACACGTTGGACCAGAGCCTACAACTGATAGATTTGTTGTTGTCATGGTACAGAAAACTTCCTTTTGTTCTCATATTGCCTCTGGAAGTCCGTAACTTCCGAAGAGAAAATTATTTGTGATGTAGAATAGAGATTGCATTGTTATTGTTATCACTCTTATCTTCCCTAAATTGTGTTAATGAAGATTACTTAAAAACTTAATCCTTTTATTTATAGTCTGGACCTGATGAGAGGAGTATTCCTGGAAATACTATCGCTGTTGATGCTGACATGCCTTTTGGTGGCTTGACCACATTTGGAGGTTCATTTCTATCAAAATTCCAATGTTCTCAAATGCCACATCCGGTGAGTTTTATTTATATTTCCAAGCCCAATAACTTCTTCAGTTCTTGTGCTTGAACTAAAAAGAAAATTTTCCTTTCAGCTGTTAGATGAAATAACATTAGTGGACACTCCCGGTGTCCTATCTGGAGAGAAACAAAGGACTCAACGAAGCTATGATTTCACTGGTGTTGTATCTTGGTTTGCTGCAAAATGTGATCTCATTCTTCTCCTATTTGATCCTCATAAACTGGACATCAGTGATGAGTTTAAACGTGTAATTGCATCTTTACGTGGGAATGATGACAAGATACGTGTGGTTTTGAATAAGGCAGACCAAGTTGACACTCAACAAGTAAGACAACAGAAACAAAATTTGTCTGGTTTATTGTATTTATCCATTTCTCTGTCTACTTACATGCCTAATTTTAATATTGTAGCTTATGAGAGTTTATGGAGCATTGATGTGGTCATTGGGGAAAGTTCTAAATACTCCCGAAGTTTCACGTGTATACATTGGGTAGGTTTATTGTCTTTCAAGTATATCTAATGTTCAGCAGCTTTGTTTACAGGGCTATGCAACCATTCTATGTATACCGTGTTGTAGTGGTTTTAGAATTCAAAGAATGATGACGGTATGGTCTTTAGATTTTGTTTATTTGGGAATTGTTTGAGAAGGGGTGTTTTGAAGGAAAAGGGAGAGAAGGAAATTACTATTTATAAATTTTCAAAATTAAAGATATAAAATGATAAATTAATATAATTTTTTAATTATTTATTATCATAAGTATTATATAATTTTATTAATTCTAAAATAAAATTTATGACTTTTTATTTTCCCTCCAAAACCTCCCTACTAGAGTTTTTTTGAACATTTGGTCGTACTGTTCATTGTTAACGTTTTGTAGTTGAAATTTGCATTTAAAGTTATGGCATCTTTCGAGATACCCTGATTCACTTCAGATTATTAGATACAATTTCCAATTAATTTGATATTCTTTTGGTTGAAAGTGTATGTTACTTTTCTTTACTTCACAGCTCATTTAATGACAAGCCTATGGATGAAGGCTTCGTTGGTACATTAGGACAGGATCTCTTTGAAAAGGAGCAAAATGATCTGCTTGCAGATTTGGTAGATATTCCAAAGAAGGCCTGCGATCGCCGAGTATGAACTTTATTTTCATATTATGTGTGCACCTGCTGGTGCTAGCTGAGTTAATTATTATTATATGTAGCTGGTAAATCACTGATTGCATAGGCTGCTATGTATTTATTTCCCATATCTAAGATTTGTTGTCGTTGGATTGTTTCAGATCAATGAATTTGTGAAACGAGCTAGATCTGCTAAAATTCATGCGTATATAATTAGTCATCTCAAGAAGGAGATGCCTGCAATAATGGGGAAAGCCAAGGCTCAACAAAGACTTGTTGATAATCTTGATGAAGAATTTGCAAAGGTTTTTCCTCCTTTGCTTCCTTCTACCTTGATTGCTTAATTTCCCATGTACTTACAATTAGTGTGTTTTTGCAAAACAGATTCAAAGGGAGTTTCATCTACCAGCCGGTGATTTTCCCAATGTAGAGCACTTTAGAGAAGTTTTGAGTGGTTATAGCATCGATAAATTTGAGAAACTGAAGCCTAAAATGGTTCAAGCCGTAGATGACATGCTTGGGTACGAAATACCAGAGCTTTTGAAGAAATTCAGAAATCCTTATGATTAAAATATAAAAAAATGTTCAAACGTGTTATATCAGTTGTCATATATGTACCAAGTGTTAGATATTAAATGTTTAAATTCATTATTGATGGATTGTGGCTGGTTTCATTTCACTGTCTAATGGTCCATATTGGGTTATTTTCTTGGTAAATGTTTGTAGAAACAGGAAGAAAATATTCCGTACCATTTGTTTGCTGTATGTGGGGCAACGCACTTTATGAAAATGCTGCTGTTATCATAAAAACACTGGCTCGTCAAACATTTCTAATGCGAGTATGAGCGTGAGTGGGAGGTGTAGGACTACCATAGGGTACTGAAATGGGTGCATGAACTGTTCAATGTTTTAGAAAATTCCAAATAACTTTCACAAGGAATGGTCACATCCTTTATTATATATAATATAAAAGAAGTCCTATTCGAAGGTGTCATTTACCAACGTGAGATAAAAAAGCACAAGGTGCTATAGATAGTATTTTCAAAATCAAAGTTCAATACAAGGTGATTAAGATAGTATTTTCAAAATCAAAGTTCAATTTTGTAAAAGTATTACAAAATCAAGTGTGGGTGTTGGCTAGAATTGGGGCCAGATTAAATCATATGCACTGATATGGTTTTTGGAATACAATTGGACGTGGTCCCTCGAGTACTTCTTAATGATTACACTTTTTTCCTTGTCAAATTAGATTGTTTTTTTAGTCAAATGAGTTTATGATTGCATTGGAGCATATGATGATGAGTTGAGATATAAATGAGTCAAGGCCAACAAGATATTTAAAGTTTAAATTTAGCTTGTAAAAAAACCCAGACTTAAACTTATTTATTCAAACAAGTCAGAATTAAGGCTTGTGTTTGACTTAGTTAAAAATTTTGAAGCTTGAGTTTGATTCATAACTTTGTTTATCAATTTTTTTTTACAAGCTTTGAATATTTTTTATTAATTCAATATTTAATAAATAATTATGATAAAAAGTAAAATAAAAGGTAATAAAATATAATTGTATCTACATGAAAACAAGTTAAAACAAAAAAGCGATATATTTAAAATTAGGTAAATAATGCACACACAACAATAATAAAAAAATTATGTAAATATAATTAAAAAATAATTATTTAAGTATGCAAATTATTACAAGCTGTTAATATATGAAACTTGTAAAGTTTGAATTTGATTGATTTAATTAATTGAGTTTGAGTTTATTTATTTAATTAAATAAGTAAATTTAGCTAAATATTTAACAAGCCGAGGTCAAATAGTTCAAAAATAACTCAGATCATTTACAGTTCTATTTCTATGTAAAGATTCATGGTCGATGGTGAGGTGACTAATGAGGAACAAAAATAGGTGGAGTGGTGGATTAAATGGAAGTGACTTATTTCTCCAAGTCCTGATCCTATAAAGATAGGATAGCATAGTTCAACCTCCTACTCATACAATTCACAAGCCACTCTCTCCATTGCTGTGGTGACAAACTTAGTCAACTGCTTCTATTTTGTTGCCTAGAAAACAATAAATGGACAAGACCAAACTTGCCAAGAGATTTCAATGTAAGGTAGCCATTGTGACGGCTTCCACCCAAGGAATTGGTTTTAGCATAGCTGAGAGGCTTGGATTGGAGGGTGCATCTGTTGTCATCTCTTCACGCAAACAGGTTAATGATTGACCTTCAATTTTTCATTTTCTAGCATTTTTTCTTCAGAAAATGTGAATCTTAACTGAAGGAAGAAAATTGGATTTTTATTCTTGTTTGTGGTGGTTTGATTAAGTTTATGAATTAAATTTATGTCATGTTTATCCCTCATGAAAGTCCCGTATTTTCTTGTAGGGGTGTTAGAGCTTAGAAGAGTTTGTTGTTTTCTTAATTGATTAAGTTTGATGAATTAAATTTCACGTCATGTTTGTCGCTCATGAGAGTCCTGTATTTTCTTGTCATGGTGTTAGAGCTTAGAAGAGTTTTTTTTTTTCTTAATTAAGTTTGATGAATTAAATTTCATGTCATGTTTGTCCCTCATGAAAGTCCTGTATTTTCTTAATTAATTAATTATTTCCTGAAAAGATGTTGATTATTTGTGATAAAAGAACACGATAAAAAGATAGACAATTTATGCGTTTTCCTTTTATTATCTTTCCATTTAACACTTGTATACAACAAATATTTGTTCAATACTAAAGATGTTTTTGTGTAAATTACCGCAGCAAAATGTTGATGAGGCTGCTGACAAACTGAGAGCTAAAGGAATTGAAGTATTGGCAATTGTTTGCCACGTTTCAAATGCACAACAAAGGAAGAATTTGATAGACAAAACTTTACAGGTGACATTTGAAACTTCCTTCAGATTGAAATTTTTATTCGTTTAGAAATTATCTTGTCTAAGTCAAATAGAAGTCTCCTTTTGATTTCATCACTTCAAGCTCGATAAGTTCAATCCTTCTTTTTGGTTCATTTATCAATTGGCCATGGAAATTGTATTTGTTACTGCTATTTGACCTCTGAAACTGGTGAATCATATTTTTGTATAAGTCTAAATCCAATTATACCATTATGGTTTCGTGTCTAATTAGCGCATTGGTTTGAATCTTTTATTAGAAGTCACTATTTAAATAATTGATTGCTGTTGTATGGTGTGGTTAACATTCTAGTTTGTTGGAAATGGATCCTGTCACATGTGAGATTTTCACATAACCTACGCAAAAAAATTGTATCTATTATTTTATCTCTAAAACATTAGATAAGTGAGGCCTGTCAATTCCCTTGTTTGCCACAGAAGTATGGAAAGATAGATGTTCTTGTGTCCAATGCTGCAGTAAATCCTTCTGCAGATCCAATTTTACAAACACAAGATTCGATCCTTGACAAGTTATGGGAGATAAATGTCAAATCCACTATACTTCTTCTCAAGGTAAGTAAAGTAGAGCATGGTCAAAGCCAAAACAAGAAAAAGAACGAAAACAATATATGTTTCAGCACATTTTCTTTGTGTCACTCCATGTTATATGCTTAAATTGGAATTTATTATATGGTGAGTTTTATGCTCTATGGTTTATACAGGATATAGCTCCCCATTTGCAAAAGGGTTCTTCTGTTGTTCTAATTTCCTCTGTTGTTGGCTATAACCCACCACCTATAATGGCTATGTATGGTGTGACCAAAACAATGGTTCTTGGGCTTACCAAAGTAGGTACTTAGCTTGCATTTGTTCCTTCAAGAGTGTCTTTCTCTATCAAGTAGTAATACATATAAATAGCTTGTTAATAAGTTTTAGGAGATAAAATAAGAATTAAATAATTTTTATATAGGTTAAAATCAACTCATTCTTTTAAAAAACAAATCATTTAATCTTTTCAAGTCTTAAGATGCATAAGTTATTTTTTTATAAGTATTTCTTTAAAAGTTTAATTAAACTGAGCCATACAATAAAATTTTAAAGAACTTTATGCAACGTTTTTATTATCTCTCTCCATCATGTTACTCATCTTATCTATCACTTCCCTCTCTTTGCTTCCGATCTCTTAAAATACAAAAACTTTTATATCTTTTTTTTTTGTAAGAGTATCATTACTCCTTTCATTTTGCTTAGTATTTTAAATTTGTTGTGTAGGCTCTGGCTAGGGAAATGGCCCCCAAGACTCGTGTGAATTGCGTAGTTCCTGGTTTTGTGCCAACTCGTTTTGTTGCACTATATGCCACTAATGATGCTATAGTGAGTATCTTTTGTCCCAAATGGGATTTTAGTTTCAACAGTATTGCCTCTAGTCTAGTCTCCTTACTGTATCAATAGTGATGAGAATTGATTTTCTTTTTGTGTTATTACAGAGGGAGGGCCTTGAAAAGAAAGCACTCATTAGAAGACTTGGTACAACTGAAGACATGGCTGCTGCAACAGCGTTTTTGGCATCTGATGATGCTTCTTACATAACTGGAGAAAATCTAGTGGTTGCTGGGGGAATGCCTTCCAGATTGTAGCTTCGAGTGGGGGGACTAGTGCCATTGAATATCCTGCACCCACTCACAAAATAAATATACCTTGACCAACTTTTCTTTTTCTATCTTTTTTAAACTAGAACATTTGAGTTCACCAAATGGATTTATATATAGAGAGAATCTGGTGTTTTTTTTTTTTTTTTTTCTAATTAAGATAAAATAAAAAACATTTTATTGAAATTAGGTTTTTATAAAACATATTTCTTGTTTAGAGCAAATAATACATGTAACATAAATATCGTTCATATGAGTCAATATTTAATTTATTTTACTTTTTAATTTACCAGATCGCAAAAAATTTTCATAGCTTTCTTAAATTGAGCTATATTACAATTAGGAAAATAAAAGAGTTTTGTAAGAAGCAGTCATAGATTTCAAGCTAATATGTTACTTATACTGCTACCAACTTCATGTCAAGAAAAATAGATAATTTGAAAGTTAGCGTGAGTTTAATTTACTCTTGAAAAATAGTTTTTAATTTTTAAAAATAATTTATAGTATAAATCAAACATATTCTTAATCTCTTTACATACGTATATTTCACCAAATAACATTCAAGTTTTTATTTACTTGGATTCTTGGACTGTTTAATCATTTTTTATACAATAAGATTAATTAATCCAAACTTTTTTTTTCCTAACCTCATATATATATATATATATATATATATATATATATATATATATATATATATATATATATATATAATGTATTTAATATGATCAATACACTTATATAGGAATACAAAAAATTAAAGATTAATTAATGATCATATGACTACTTAAAAATATTTTTATGCTTTCTTTTAATATTAACCAATAACCATTCATGTAGAATCTAATAATTTATATTTACTATTATTATTTCTTACAATAGCCAAATATTCTTGCTCAAGTAATTTATACCCACACAAACAGTAATGGTCGCTCATCCATTTAAAATATAACTCTGAATCGCAAACATTTAGACAAAGCCATGAAAATGCTGCCTAAAGATCAGTTCTTTATACACCTGCATGCTTAACTTTCTTTTCAGAAAATAATTGTTTATTTCAAAGAGTTCCAAATAATTAGTAATTTTTATTTTTTTTTGTCAACTTTATTAAAACGAAATTCAAAAAACAATCTTCTTAAAGATTATTAAGATTATTCCACCCCAGACATGCTTCATCACATAAGCTACCTTATCTATTTGTCAACTTTATTCTGAATTTCTCATTGTTTTACCATTTTCAAACAGAACAAGGGCTGGTCATGATTCGATATCTCTCCCTCCCTCAGCCATACATCATTCCTTCCTAGCAAACTGCAATGCTCCTGCTACCTTGAAAACACTCACAAGAGAAACAGATAATTTAAAACATGTTTTCAGCCAACATTTATAAACAGTATCGTGGTAAAGTTGGTCTTCAATTTTTACAACATAGGCAGAACATATATATCAACTTAAGAATACAAGTTAACCCAAACTCGACAATTAATATCTAACTACAAACCTAAATTCCGGCCAGATTTTACTCACACACAACATAGCAACTACTTTGAACCCCTTCGGGCACCTCTACCTATGTACATTAAATAAGTAGAAAAAGGGACAATGCAACTTCGTGGATACATTGATATGAAATTCTCAAAGTGCTTGTAGTTGGCCTTGTGGATCCTTGAGTCATATTAATCAAATCATATTCTGCTTATCATGACCATCTTAGCAGTCTGCTTTGCATCTTCTTCCAACCCAATTTACAGACAAACCTGCACGTGGAAAATACTCTGATTCCGTAGTTTAGGATTTTTTCATCAGTTTCCCTCATTTCAGTATTGTGACACAGATTTCCAAACAAAAGAAAGCAACGGAAAATACTAAACAGGAATGACATCGGCGTTTTGACTATCCTCGCATGTCAAGATTAGACCTTCTACGTAGGTTGGTAGAAGGCAGCGGATCCATTGGCAGCCTGTTGAGACAGGCTCTGCTGAAGGAACAATCATGAGCACGTTATCATGTCGACGAACAACTCCCATCACACTTACTGTGCTACCTTCTTTGATGTACCTGTGCATTTTCCAAATTTAATTTCTAAGTACCAAATCACAATTACGAAGGACATTGTAAAAAGAGAAAAGAAAATCACCAAGGAGCATCATGAATAGTAAATTTACCACAGAATAATAAAGTTCATACCCTTCCTTGAGGCGCATTATCCGATCATCACTAGAGAGTTTGCGGTCTGCAAGCCAGCCTAAGAAATTTGGAGATAGCTCTCTGTTATCCTTTGTTACATCAACCACGGTAGTTGGTTCCACGAAAGGAGCAACCTTGGCCCCAAAGCCTGCTTTCACTAATGCTCTTAATCCAGACTGGAAGTCTGATATGTAGAAGTCTGCTACGTATTTCTGTCCACAGAAAATAATAAAAACATTGCTATTACATAAATGCTCACGATATAGTGAATATACAGTCATCAAGATGCCAGACAAAACCAAAAATATAAACTAGAATCCTTAGAAAGCAGTTACATGCATTAGAGCAGCCTCCAGTACTGAAGCCCATACAAGACTTGCAAGATTCAATAAATTAACACGTGTAGAGCATGGCAACATCATTGAGTCTCTCAAACAACTGTTGCAGTCCAAGTGGTTCAGTGGACATAATAACTCAGTCAGGCTGAACCAAACATGAAAAAACCTATGCATTCACTAAATGAACAGCACTAGGATATTTCGAGTTAAGTGTTTGCTTATGCGCTAACAATAGTGTAAGGTTTCTCAGTTCTCACTATATGATTCATTTAGGGACAAGCATGTGAATGAGATTAACTAATCCTAGTATGTTGGGCTTTATAAAGTGGATTGGTGTGGTAGGGAAGTATAAGGGCTCCTTAGGTTTTATTTAAATATTTTTGCAAATTGCTATCCTCATTCAATGGAATCTCATTTCCAGTTTCTTTTTACTTTGTTATCTTGATTCTATAAGACCCTAGAAATATCTTTTGTTTAAATAATGGCACAAGCAAAGTATAACATATGTTAAAGATATCAAGCAAGTGGAGAAAGTTGAAGTCACAGAAAGTATAGTCTAGGCAGTCATGACTTCAACTTTCTTCTGGTCTCTAGCGTTCATTCTAGTAATATCATATTGATTCTCAAGCATATTTATTATTAGGCAAACCACATTGACCTGCAGTTATATACTTAAATCAACAGAGCATATGCAGAACTATAGATGCAAAATCAGCTTTCAACCAACTGGCACAACGCCATAGGCTAAAGAATTAAAAACATTAAGTAACCTTGCTGGTAGTACTCCACATCCAATTTTAACTGGGAATCAATCACTGACATGAGCTCTAAGGTCTCCTTGAATAAGTTTCTTAGCAGTTCTTTCCCCAGAAATAGACTTCTTAATTGTTATTGCTCAAGCATCTAGTCATTTGTACATTTAAGGTACCAATTGAGACAATGTATGTCTGTGTGTGCAAGTGATTTCTCACATTTATCAAATTGTGCTTGATCCTGAATCAGTAGTATACCAAAGAATCAATGAAATGTTGAACAAACTGACCTCAGAGTATCTAGAACCCCAAGAGAAGCAACGATGTTTAGGATTTGCTGATTTTCCACCCAATCCTTTATATTCATATAATTCTGTGGAGACATATACACATCTAGGTACTCTTTGGTAGGATGACTCCAAAGGAATACTGCCACAGGTTACAACCTACAGGAAGAAACAGGATACATATAACAAAATATTGTAGAAGCCATGCTAAATTATTTTCCTTCAGCCAAGGGTATTAAAATCCATAATTTTTTCTCTTAAATTACTCCATAACTACATTGAGAATATCAACTTCTCACATAAACCTATAAAAAGCTTGAAGGCTTGAGTGAAGAACAAATTTTGGGAAAATGAGCATATGCCTAATGGGATACATGCATCGAGTTCTGTGTAGGACATTATCATCCATCCACAGAACAATCTTATATGAGTGCATTGCAGTGCTAGTGTAAAGAAATGAACTAACAATCAAGAGTGAGTGGTGAAGCGTCAGGGATTATGATTAAAAAACAACTAAGAATGTAACAACCTGACAACCGACAAGCACGGTATGTCCATAATATCTAGCAGAAGAGTTTTACAAGAAGGTGGGAGGAGTGATAAAAAATGGGAAGTGAAGGTGAAGCAGACAATCCAAACATTACTACTTAAATGCTATGTAATTATATGGCAATGTGAACATGGCAACCATTTTTCGTAACAAGGAAAAAGGCCTCCTAATTATGACATTCATAGAGAAGCAGATATCTGATCCTTCTTCCTTAGTCTACCACATAAATGCACATTATACATCACTATCCCTGACCACCATCTCTGCTAAATTCATGTGCTCGTCCAAACGTCATTTAAGTTTCTGAACTAAGAAAACGATACCACCACAACATGCAAGTTAGCTCTTTCCTTTCGACCCATTTTTCATTCCTTCCCATTTGCTCCATAAAATAAAAAAGCACATCCATACTCTAAATTAGAACAAAAAATACAAGCTTAAACACTGATATTCGAGATTCCAATCTAAAACAGAAAAATTAAACTTAAAGGACAACTACAAAAGAAGCAGTCGCAATCACCAGGACCAAATTCATTCATCACATATCTATCAAACGCATACTAAAATCCCAAACCGAACAACAAATTATTAGGAAAAAAATATTTTAAATTAGCTGAACAAAACAAACAAGTTGCCATCTAAAAGAAGAATCATAATCATGACAAATCATCAACAGAAAAGAGAAATTACCCCGGTAACCTTAACGTACTGTCCATCAACGGCGCCTCTAAGCTCGGCATCAGGGTATCTCTTGACAAACGCTAAAAGCCCTCGTCTTCCCCAAATACAGTTCCAAGTGATCAAAAGCACAACGGGCACAATAATCGCTCCAAGAGCCACCAAGATCACAGCTTTCTTCACCGCCACCATCAGAAATACCCCAACAAGCAAACTCATTGCGACCACCACCATGAAAACCCACACCACCGCCCTCGAAACCCTAAACCCCACCTTCACCTCCTCGCTCAGACTCGTCACTGCCGACCCATACACCGCCTTCCCCACCGACCCGCTTTGCTCCAACTGACCCGACCTCCGAGACCCAATTGGCCCGGATCCTACTGGGCCCGACGTTATCAGGCCCGTGGGCTGCAGCGCTATTGGGCCCGACCCGGAAGACTTTCTCGACATGGGACCCGACCCGCTTAGCCTCCCTCCCGGACCCGAATTGGGCCCGGATCTTACTGACCCACTATTGTGCTGAGAGGACGAAGAAGGACGCGAAGGCTTAGGATCGACGCTGGGGATTTCAAGCATTTTTCCAAGCTCGCCGGACTTTTTAGGGTCGCCTCCGGTGTACGGAACGGCACGTGAAGTCATTGTGGGCTGGCGCTCCTTGAGCTGCTCGGGTCGACCCGACACGTAGAGTCCACTGCTGAGCTGGTGCGAAGGGATTCGGGTCCCCATTTGAGAAAAGAAAGGAACTTTGAGTGCAGGGAGTGGTGGGTGTTTGTTCTTCTAGTGCGTTTGTGTGACTAGGTAGTGGAAGTGGAAGAGAGCTTAGAAGTGGAGAAGGTTGAAGAGAATTGCAGAAATGGGGCTTAGCTTTGTGATAATGACGTGTGTATGGGTCTTTGAAACGCCTGTGACGGACCAAATAACTGTCCTTACCGATGCTAATAATGTTGGGGCTCGCCAGGGTATATCACTTTGTTGCTGGTTTTTTTGCAGTTTTCTTGTTTTTTATGTCCCCACACTTTCTCCCCATTTACCTTCTTACCCTTTTTGTTATCTTACCTTTTTTACGACTTTCCCTCCCTTTTTTTATGCTGATTCCAGAGTGAGCAACCAATACAGACAAAACTACACCACCTCTCAGATATAGTAATTATGCACTCATATGATCACAGTGATGATGATGTTCTCATCCTGCATCTCGTTCATGTCATGCCTTGTGTTTACGTATTGACAAAGAAGTGTCATGTAAATGAATTTATATTATTAGGTATATCAATGCTTAGGACCACATTCTTGCAAATATTTTATGAGGTAATTAATTATTTTTGTTAAGAGACTATTTATCATTGGGATAGTTGGCAGAAAACTTACGAGAATAAAAGATAAGAGGAGGACGAGAGACATTTAATAACGATAATAAATACACTATTTATTAATTTAAAATTCTAAATTCATATTTAATCACAAATTTTTATTAATATTAATGTTAACTGGTTCTTAAAAGATATTTTAAGATATTAGTTAAAAATTAGAAATAATTTTTTTTATTCAAATGGTAAAAGGTTTATTTAAAATATATTTTAATTAAAATTTCACACTTTCAATTTTTTAACCGGTCATTTCACAACTTTTTAAATGGTTAAAAAGTGGCCGAAAGTGGACATGGAAACGAAAGGAAACAAATTTATTTGGGAGAGAGATGAGGAAGACTTGACGATGGGAAAGCAGTGAGAGCGAGAATGGTTATTATGCAAAAAAAATGAAAGAAAGTTACAAAGAAGTTGAAAAATAGAAAGGCAAAAGAAGAGCAACTAGAAAAAGATTTGCATCAACTAGAGCAATCTGAATGATGAAGTCAGAGTAAGAGAAAGCACTTCACTGATTTGAAAGTTATGAAAATGAAGGATTACAAATTGCAAATGACTCCAGTAACTCATGCAGCGGGAGATGGTAAATGATAATGTCGCCTGGTGAAAACCACTACCCCTAATAATAGCAACATTATCAGAAATATAAGGAGAACCGCAGATAGAATATGAAAACAAAAATCTATAGCTAATAAAATGAAAAGGTATGTCACATCTTTAACACATTATTTATATAACATCAAGAGAGTAATTAATTACTAACTAATTACACACATATATAAAGTAATTAGCTAAATCAGTCATTAACTAAGTTAATTATACCATATAACATAATGCAATAAGGGTTTTTTTCTTTGTCAACCAATCAGATACAAGGATTTTCAAGAGTGCATTTTTATATTGATTTAACACGATTATAAGCAATAATCAATTTTTTCAGATACATACTTAAAATTGAAATCCCAACTGTCACCGTACCTCTGAATCATAAATTACCAAACCAATCCACTTACATTAATATTCCCACAAGTTGACTGTTCTGATTAGAATCCTTAGCTTTTATTATTATTATTATTAAACACGATTACATGTCTTCCAAAATTTTGATGTCATTTTCTTTGGTAGAAAATAATGAGACACATGAAAAATAAGTTATAGTGGAGAGACTGGGGTTGTGGGGCTACTACATCGATTCTCCGTTTGAAGAAGATTTTGTGGCTTCTTCTTATCGTATGATGCACAAACGATGGTAGATTAATCGGCAAAGACAATGCCCATCACCGTCGAAAATTAATAGATTGAATTGCAGTGTGGGACCAACCACAGTTACTCTCTGGCGGTACAAGTAGATCTACGATCCCCATCAAGTGTTCACAAGTGGAAGCTCCTTCTTCTGTTCTCTACAATAAGGCTTCAAAGGACTATATACCCCAATACTAGTAAATGGGACCCTTCTTCACTAATAAAATGGTCCCCTTTCTTTCATAATATATATATATATATATATATGGATTATTGTGATATAATAAATCATTAGTGTGAGTTTAAAGTAATCACTCCAGACACTGATGAAGTAATTTTTAGTAGACGTTTTTGTTGTGTTGGAATAATCTTTTAACTTTAAGAATAAGATTCTTTTAGAATAATATTTTTAAGAATTGTATAGTTCAATCTATCTTACTCACCTTTCATGTTTTTATTTTGCTTGAGAATTCATCGTTAAAAATATTTAATTTTAAAAAATATATTAATATAAATAAAAAATTATTTTCTCTACTATTGCAACCATCCATTGCTACATAAATAAGACTTGGGTTATTATTATTTTATATAAATTACACTCACTTTTCTTGAATAAAGCATAATTTGGTAGAAATTATGTTAAAAAGAATGTGGTTGAGAGTATAATTTTTTCAAAGCCTTAAAATAATCATGAAGGTATTCCATGCTCATCTTAACATTTTCAAGAATATAAAATTAATTCCAATCAGTGATAAATTTTTTCGTTGAATATCATAATATTTTTGAACATTTTTTGTTATAAATAAAAGCAAATAATTGATTAACGTTTTGTAATAACCCTATTTTTTGTTGTTCTTTTCAGTTTATCATCAACTTGTATTATATAGAGAGGGATTGCACCACAAAAAAAAAAAAAAGGACCAGTGACTGTTGTTAGTTACTATAGTTGGATTCCCGCCATTCAAATGTGGGATGCGGAGGTCAATATAGTAAATCTGCATCCTCGTCGAAGTCGGTGTAGAGATAGATGCCGGTCCAAGGTTTCGAAAAGACTATAACATCCTTTGTATGTGCTGCAATTCTAATGTGGCATTATATATATATTGTCAATTTAGATCATAATTCTGAAGCTAAATAGTTTTTAATCAACTTCTTTTAGGGGGAAAAATTCTTAAAATTGAAGTTTTTTATTTTATTTTAAGAATATATTTTAATTTTTTAAAAGAATTATGATAAAATTGCCAAGAACAAATTGGTCACTCTTACACTGTCATGTCTTTGGTCATCCAAATTATAAACACGGTTTTTAAAGTTTCGGGTTGAATTGGGATTTCTGCATGTGCTTTTATTCGTGATAGAGACAATTATGATTTTTGATTGAATTCGAATTAATGCATTAGGTTAACTAACAAGTTAGAACATTTTAATGCGTATTATACATTATTACGCTTAATAAAATATAAAAAGTTATACAGATAGATATTGATATATTTAACTAATTTAAAAATACTGATACCATAATGAAAAAGTTATCATTATAGTAATAATATATTGATATCAAGCAAACCATGAATGCTGATATTATTAAATTAATTAATAGTCACTGTATTTGACAAATATTTCTATTCTCTAACAAAAAAATGCCAAAAATTAATTATAATAAGTATCCCGTACAAAATAACTTTCTAATTTATGTAGACTTTTAAAATTATTAGAAAAAATTAAAATTTTAAGAAAAATAATTAATTAATTCTAATAAATAGATATAAGTAACTTATATTTTGTGGGAAAAAATAATGATTACAAGAAATTAAATATTTTTAAATATGAGCAAATAAAATTCAAGATAAAAATGTAATATCAATAAATTAAAAGCAACAAAATTTGAGATTTTAAAAATATTAAGATAAAAGAAAAATGTTAGAACATAATTGATAATTTTAAAATATTTAAAAATATATGTATTAAAAATGATAAAGTCATGTATTATAAAAAGAAATAAATTATAATATAATAAATTAAATAATTGATAGTTTTTATATAACCTTTTAATAATTAATATACAAATTATATTTATAAAATATTCTAATACTGTATTAATTTAATATTTTAATACTATATTAATTTAGCTTACCCTTGATTATTATAACTAAATTTGCGTTATCCATTGAGTCCAGCGTATGTGTCACTCGCAAGATATTCCCTTTATTTTGTTTTTACTATCTTTACTTTTATACTTATGGAGGATCTCTCTCTTTTGTCAAGCTTTTTTTTTTTTTTTGGGTAAATTTATAAGATTTTTCATATCTTTTAAGAAAAATATTAATAATATGCTCTCTTAAATAGGGTAGTAATAAATAATAAAGGGTATGTTATTATTTGTTTTAATAGTTCATTAATAGCTTATTAACCTCTGGCCACACTTTGGCTCTCTTTTTTTTGTGCATGGGATGTTGGACTCAATTAAGGAAACATCTCCTCCCACTTAAGCTTGTCATAAATCATGACTCATGATGACAGAAATAGATGTGTAAAGACCCCATTTGAAATAGCTTTTGAATAATATTTTAAATCCCATCGCTTTTGGGATCTCCCTGCTCAATAAGGAAGGTAGGTGATCTTTAGCTTTCTTATGCTAATAACATTTGTACCCCGAATCTTAATTTGGCATCACGTATCTCTCAATCATGTGTTAAGTTTCATATACCCTATTCAAAAGGATCATGAATATGTCAAAATGTAATGTGCCTACATGGCATATTGTATACAATATATGTTATAAACGCAATAATTGTCTCTAGTTTATTTGATTTTATGCACCATTATCTTTATTTATTAATTGTTTCTTCCATCGCTCCTTTCTAATAAGCTGTATTAGGCACTGTTCCATGGGACAAAATTTCATCAAGCTACATTGAGGAAAAATATATAAATGTTTAAGACGCTTAGCAAGACAAAAGAATAACGAATAACAAGACATGATTGACCTATGTTGCAAACTTTTGTGGAGATCTATATTCTACTTCATATATTTCTCTGCCCAAACTTGTGCATACAAACTTTTTTTATTCAAATCACTGAAATTTAGTTACTTTATGCGAACATCAATAATATGTGAACTAAGTTGACCCTATATATAGGTCTAGTGTGCGTTTACGTGGTTAAATTGGTTCACTCTCTCTATTCAATGACAAGCTTTGATCATTGGCCAGTGAGGGTCCCTTATAATTTCCTTCTTTTTAATTTCTCTTTAATGACAGAGATTTTCTTGTTTGCTACGTGTCACTGCCAAT